CCATATAAGAGGGAATCCTACATAACCCTGGATTGGCCCGAACAACATCATGTTTTATCCTTACAATAGTAGAGAAAAGCGATTAGCTCACACGATAAGCTGGTAGCTTTTCTCTACTATTGTAAGGATAAAACATGGTGTTGTTCGGGCCAATCCAGGGTTATGTAGGATTCCCTCTTATATGGCTCGAACAATAGTGGGTTTTATCCTTACAATAGGACTGTATCAAAGCGGGGCATCCTATGGTTGGCCACGCCCATAGATACTTGATTTTATGTCTGAACCAATTTTTGATCAAAAGGTATGTCTGTTGATATTGCTATGTCGAAACCCATGTCCACATCCGCCGCACACTCTCATTTACTAATTATTCTTCCAACTTTATACTAGCAACTAACTTTGTTAACGTTGAAATGCATTACATTGTCGATAGATCAGCTTGAACTCCCTGTTTCGTCAACATCTTCACCTGTTCATCGCGATTTCATGACGAATTATAAATCATCAATAAATTCTCTATGAAAGTTTGTTCTATAACCCAGGTCAAAAAATCTGACAGTAATTCTTGTATGATCATATGAAATCGTACAAAAAATCGTAGTCTTTGAAATCTTACATCAATTCTTATTGTAAGAGGGTAGGGTGTGGGTGTGGGTGTGGGTGTGGGTGGGTGTGGGTGTGGGTGGATGTGGGTGTGGGTGTGGGTGTGGGTGTGGGTGTGGGTGTGGGTGTGGGGTGTGGGTGGCTGCAGGTGTGAGTGTGGGTATAGGTGTGACTGTGCCTGTTTCATACTACCACCCACATCCGCACCCATCTACAGCCACCCACACCCACATCCACACCCACCCACACCGACACCCAGGGGAATGAAAGAATAGCTGCCGACTGAATGGAATATATTTTGAAGCGCTCTCTTACTCATTTTTGTTTGTTATTCTTTAAATATGCTAATTCTACTTTTTTCGCTTTCAATTTCCTTTTCTTTTTATACTACTTTAACGGATACACTTTTTATTTAGTAACTGTCCCTTTTGCACGGTTACTATCAGAGGACAACATAAAACGAATATATATTAATAAAATCAGAAAGCAGAGAAAAGCAGGAAAAATAGTTAGTTAATGCGTATGTAGGTGTATTCGCGTGTTGAAAAGCACATTCTAACGTGGGATACATTGGAATTTTGTAACATGATTTCCATATACGTTGGTAACTGTTATCTGGCCGCATTGGTATTTGCAACAGTCTGTATCAATTCTGCATGGATTTTGTGTAGGACATCCTTCCGCACAAATCGGTTGTACATACGGATTCAAACATGAACCGTACTCCTGATTGTTATGTCGAAAGCATTGACATTCAATACCAGGAACACAACAATCAGCATCTGTTGTACATTCTTTAAATGAACAGCAATTTGATGAGGCAGATACTGGTGTTGTTGAAGTCGACGTTGTTGTTGAAGTCGACGTTGTTGTTGAAGTCGACGTTGTTGTTGAAGAATTCAAAGTAAAGTTTGTTATGCTGTATCCACCGACACATTGTTGAATTGCAGAATCATAACACACGCCATTGCATAACTGAATTTGGCCGACTTTATAATTATCATACGAATTTGTAGTGTTACAAACTGTCACATTATTAACACATACTTGTTTGTATTGAAGACATTGCTGATTGCATGATCGAGATGGGTGCGCGCAAAGTGAATCGTTGAAACACGCGTAAGACGTGGGATTATAACATTGATAACGTGGTGAATTGTATTCATATCCATCCGAACTATCGTATCTAACTATACACAATTGTTCACTCAGTCTACATACTCTTCCATTGAAACATTGGTGTGATGATGAATTGTAGCATATACCAGAGCAGTCATCAATACACTGGACAATACCATCGACACATTGTTGAGTTGCAGAATCATAACACACGCCATTGCATAATTGAATTTGGCCGACTTTATAATTATCATACGAATTTGTAGTGTTACAAACT